AAGTTGGTCTTTTTGTAATTGTAGATAGAACAGTAGGAGATGTGTGATTTTTTATTAATATGGTTTGTGTTGAAGTTGGATTTCTTCGAAATATTGTTGAAATAGTTATTGTCTCGTTTTCTTTTACGGATATTTGTGTAGAAACATTAGATAATAATTTTCCTTCTGTATTTTTTGTTTTGTTTTCTGCTACTTCTGATTTTGTAAAAGTTATGTTTAATATTGGACCTTCTGTAAATTTTGTTGCAATAGTCTTTGCAGTGGTTGTTTCCTTCTCTATAACTAGGGATGTTGTTGAAGCAGTATATAATTCTTTATCAGAAATTGTTGTTGCATCAGATTTTGGAAGTGTTTCATATTCTGTTTCTTTTATTTGTCTAGAGGTTGTATCTAATCTTGACCCTTCTGTAATTGGGGTTAGTGTAATTTTTGCAATAGTTCTTTCGTTTTTCTTTTGTGTTCTTTCTGTAGATTTTGCTGATGATACTTTTCCATTTGAAATCGTAGTTGGATAATTCATTGCAGGTATTGTCTCATTTTCAAGATCTTGATTTTGTGTAGTAGTAGATAATAGTGGCCCTTCTGTAAATGAAGTTCGAATAACTTTTGTTTCGATTTCTTTTCTTGGTGTTTGTCTAGTAGTTGTGTTTACCATTTGCACTTCTTCACTTGTTGTTGGAATTGAATTTGCATGCGATATTTCGTTTTCTGTCCCTGTTATTTGTGTAGATTCTCCAGGTAATATTGGTTCATCCATAACTGTTGTTGGAACAGTTTGGTTTACCGTTTCTTGTGTTTGTGTTGAAATTGTTGTTTCTCCTTTAGTAATATAGGGTGGAATATTTCTTTCAATGGTTGATTTAATTTCATGTAGAATCGATGTAGTTGCTAATGGCGTTTCTTTTGTAATTTGGGTTGGAATAGACTCTTTAAGTGTTGTTTCCTCTTCTCTTCCTGCTATTTGTTTAGAAGTTGTGGTTAATAATGCTTCATCTGTCATTGACATTGAAGTTATTGTTTTCTTTTGTGTGCTGGCTGTTTGTCTAGTAGTATTTAATAATATTGTTCTTTCTGTAATTGGGGTTAGATCAGTCCTGACAATATCTGTTTCATTTTCTCTTGCTTGTGTTTGCGCAGAAGCTGGAGTTAATGTTAGTCCTTCAAATATAGTCATTTTAGGGGATGTCTCTTTTTCTGTTAATGGCGTTTGCATAGATGTTATAGACAATGTAGGCACTTGCGTAATTTTGATTGCATTAGAGTTTAAAGCTGTTGATTTATTTTCAAATACTGATGTTTTTGTAGAAGTAGGGGATAATGTTTGCCGATTTGCAGTTTTGGTTGTCAAAATATTTGCAGATTCTGTTTCGTTTTCTGGTCTTGCTGTTTGCATAGAAGTTTTAGTAAGTATTTTCACTTCTGTAATTGCAAGGGTTGTTTCTCTTTCTCTTTCTGTTGATTGGAAGGGAGAAGTAGATATTTGTTCATCTGTGATTGCGGTTGGAATCGCCGTTGCAGAAGTTATTGCAGTTACTGTTTCTGTTATTTGCATTGAAGTAGCAGATACTTTTGATTTTTCTGTAACCGTAGTTTGAATAGTCTTTGCAAATGTTGTTACATTTTCTTTTACTCGTGTTTCCGTTGAAGCTGTAGAGAGTGTTGGTTCTTCTTTAATTGTGGTTAGAAATGAATTTTCAACAGTTGTTTCATTTCTTGTCGCTGGCGTTTGTATAAAAATAGTAGACAATGTTGGCCTTTCTGTAGTTATGGTGGGAAGAGACAATGTAGATTTTGTTTCCGTTTCTGTTTTTGGCGCTTGTTGAGAGTTTGTGCTAAATTCTGCTCCATCTGAAATTGTGGTTGGAGTATACTTTGCTGGAGTAGATTCTTCTTTCATTCCCTCCATTGGTACAGAAACATTATATAACACTTGTCCATCTGTTATTGTGGCTGGAATAGAATTTATAGTTGTTGCTGCTGCCTTTTCAGTTGGTGAAAATGTTGTTGACAATGTTGGTCTTTCTGTAAATGTGGTTGCAATAGTACTTGAAGTGGTTCCTTCATTTTCTTGCGTGGAAGTAGTAGATAAAGTTTGCCTATCTGTAATTGTGCTCGGATTTGATTTTGCAGGAGTTGTTTTATTTTCTATTATTTTAGAAGTAGAGGGTAAAGTTTGCCCTTCTACAGTTTTTGTTGGCAAGTTTTCTACAGGTGATGTTTTGTATTCTGGCTTTGCTGTTTGCGTAGATTCATTATTCAATTTTAATATTGTGGTTGCAACGTTCCTTGGTTCATCTTCTCTTGTTGAAATTTTTGTATGAGTTGTAGATAATGGTTGTCCACCAGTGATTACGGTTCCAACAGACTTTCCAAGGGATGATTCCGTTTCTGCTAATTGTGTAGAAGTAATATATAATTTTGCTTCTTTAATTGTAGAGGGAAAAGTCTTTGCAAATGTTGTCTCATTTTTTCTTACTGGTATTCCCGTAAACGTTGTTAGAAATATTGGCCTTTGAGTAATTGTGGTTTGAACATTATCTTCAACTGTTCTCGCATCTTTCCTTACTGCTGATTTTGTAGAAATATTAGATAATGCTGACTCTGTTGTAATTATGTTTGGAATAATATTTGTAAGAGCTGTTTCGTTTTCTGTTGTGGGTATTTGCATAGAAGTTGTAGATAATGTTGGTTCTTCTCTAATTGTGATTGGAAGTGATTTTGTTTTACTTTTTCCGATTGCTGTTTGCATCTTAGTTCCTTCAGTAACTGAATTTAGAATAGTGAATTTAGGAGATGTGTCATTTTCCATTGGTTGTCTTGGTGTAGAGATTGTAGATGAAATTGTTGCTTCTGTAACTATGGTTGGAAGAGTCCTCACATGGGTTGTTTCTTTTACGTTTGTTTCTGTAGATATAGTAGATACTAGTGGTTCTACTGTATTGTTGGTTGGAATAGACCCTGCAAGTGGTGAAATAGTAGATACATTTCTCCCTTCTGCAGTTGTTGTTTGGTTTTCCCTCTTTAGTATTTCTGTAGATGTAGATATGATTAATCGTTCGGGAATTGTGCTTGTAATAAACTTTTTAAATGTCGTTTCATTTTCTTCCAACGGTGTTTGCATGGATGTTGTGGGTAATATTGGTTCTTCTGTAATTGCAGATGGAACAGATTTTGAAGTTGTTTCATATTCTATAAATGGTGTTTGTGTAATGCTATGAGATAGTGATTGTGCATCTGTAATTTTGCCTGTAACATGCTTTGTAGAGTTGGTTTCATTTTTTGTTTTTGGTGTTTCTCTAGAAGCAGTAGTTAATGTTAGTTCTTCTGTAAACGCACTTGCAATGGTTGTTGCGTTTTCTTTTACTAACAGATGTGAAGAAGAAGTAGATAATGACCGTCCTTCTGTAATTAAGGCTGGAATAGTCTTTGTATGTACTGTTCCATTTTCTCTTTTAGGCATTTGTGTAGGGGTTGTAAAGACCGCTAGTTCATCTGCAAATGTTTTTTCATTAGATTTTGTAGGCGTTTTATTTTCTGTTTCTGAAGTCTTCTCAGAAGGCGTAGTTAGTGTCGTTACTTCCGTAATTATATTTGGAAGAATCTTTGGAGGTGTAATTCCGTTTTCTGTTCCTGATGCTTCTGCAACTTTAGTGGATAATGATGACGCTACTGTAGTTGCCATTGGAATAGTTTTTGCAAGTGTTGTTTCATTTTCTTTGACTAGTGTTTGCGTAGTAGATATAGTTAATGTTGTTCCTTCTGTAATTGTAGTTGGAACATTTCTCGTAGTGGTTGATTTGTTTTCTATTACTGATGTTTGATTAGAAATTGTGGATAATATAGGTACTTCTGTAATTGATGTTGGAATGGTCTTTGAAGCACTTTCGTTTTTAATTAATGGCGTTTTTGAAAAAGTAGGAGATAATGTTTGCTCATCTTCAATTTTAGTTGCAAAAGACTTTGCAAATGTTGATTTGTATTCTGCTCTTGGTATCTGAGTTTTAGTTAATTTTGTTTCTTCTGTAATTGTTGTTGGAATGGTCCTTGCATGGATTATTTCGCTTTCTCTGACACTTGTTTGCGTAGATAACGGAGTAGATAATGGCGTTTCTACTTTAATTATGGTTGGAATGAATTTTGCAAGGGTTGTTTCTTCTCTTCTTGTAAGTTCTTCCGGTGTTTTTAATTTTGGTACTTGTGTCATTGTAATTGAAGGAGACTTTTCAAGAGTTATTTTGTTTTCTTTTCCTCCTTTTTGCGTTGGAGTATTTAATAATATTGGTCCATCTGTAATTTTGGATGGAATAAACGTTGGAGTTGTTGTTTCCATTTTGGGTTCTAGTGTTTCTGTTGAAGTTAATGGTTGTCTTTCCGTAACTGGGGTTGAAATCGTCATTGCAATGATTGTTTTGTTTTCGCTTAATTGTGTTGGTTCCAAGTTTGTAGATAAATACTGTTTTTTCGCACTTGTGGTTTGAATAGACTTTGTAAGTGTTGTTACAGTATTTCTCTCAGATGTTTGCGTAGAAGGTGTATTTAATGTGGGCCCTTCTGTAAGTGTGGTTGAATTAAATTTGGAAGCAGTTGTCTGGTTTTCTATTACTGATGTTTGTATATTAGCAGGGGATAATGTCTGACTATCTGTAGTTGGAAAGGACTTTGGAGACGTAGTTTTGTTTTCTGCTTCTGATGATACTGTAGAAGCTGTATTTAATGTTAGTCCTTTAATAATTGAAGTTGGAATTGACCTTTCAGTAGTTGTTTCATTTTCTCTTAAAGGTTTTTCCGCAGAAGGCGTAGATAATGATCGTCCTGTAACTATGGTTATAATCGATTTTGTAGGTGTTGATTCACTTCCTCTTAACAGTCTTTGTGTAGAAGTAGTACTTAATATTTGCCCTTGTTTAACCGAAGTTGTAATAGAAGCTGGGAATATTGTCTCGTCACTTTTGTCTAGTGTTTGTGCAGAAGTATTAGACAATATTGGTTTTTCTGTGATTTTAGTTGTAATATTTTTTGGAGGTGATGATTCGTTTTCTGTTACGGGCGTTTGTGTAACAGCGAAAGAAGATAATCTCTGACCGTCTGTAATTCTGGTAGGAAGAGGCTTTGAAGAGATAGTTTCGCTTTTTGCTCCTGGTTTTTCTGTATCGGTTGTAAGCAATGCTGGTTCTTCTGTAATTGCTGTTGAAATCAATCTTGCAATGGTGGCTTCGTTTTCAGTTAAAGGTACTTCTGTAGAAGTCTTAGATGATAATCTCTCTTCTGTAATTTTGGTTGGAATAGATTTTACAGGCGTTGTTTGATTGTTTCTTACCGGTATGTTTGTAAAAGTAGGTACTATCGTTTGTTCTGTAATTACGTTTGGAACCGACGTTACAGTCTTTTCGTTTTCTGTTCCTGGTCTTTGTGAAATCGTATTTAATAATATAGCTCCGCCTGCAATTGTAGTTGATTTAGTATTTACAGACTCTGCTTTCGTTTCTGTTCCTAGCATTTGCCTATGAGTGGTGATTAACGTTGGTTCTTCTGTTATTTGTTTTGAAGAAGTGCTTGCAATGGTTATTTCCTTTCCTTTTACTGAGGTTTGTTTAAATGTTGTAGATAATGTTGGTTCTTCTGTAATTGTAGTTAGAAAAGACTTTGAAACAGTTTCGTTTTCAATTACTGGTGTGTTTGAAGAAGTAGGAGAGAATGTTTGTTGTTTTGTAATTATGTTTGGAATAGACGTTGTAAGTGTTGCTTCTTTCTCCGTTTCTGGTATTAGTGTAGAAATATGAGATAATGTTGTTCCTCTTGGAATTGTAGTTGGAAAATAGTTTTCAGCTGTTTCGTTTTCTGTTCTTGAAGTAGTAAATAATGTTGGCTGTTCTGTTTGTGTGGTTGGCATACTCATTGCAAAGTTTTTATCATTTGCTGTAACTGTTCTTTTTGTAGAAGTAGGATATAATATTTGTCCGTATGTAATTGTAACTGGAATAACAGGCGTTGTATGTTTTATTTTGTTTTCTTTTCCTGTCGTTTGTGTAGAAAATGTAGATAACGTTGTTCCTTTTGTATTTGTGGTTAGAATAGAATTTGCAACGGTAGTTTCATTTTCTCTAACCGCTGTTTTTGTAGAACTATTAAAAATCATTGATTCATCTGTAAGAAGTATTTGACGTGTTGTTTTACTTTCACTTTCTCTTTCTGTTGACTGTTTAGAAAAATTATATAATTCCCCCTCTTCTGTAGTTGTCGTCGTAATAGACTCTTTTTTACTTTCTGGTTCCAGTATAGAAGTGCTTGATAATGTTGTTCTTTCTGTAATTAAAGTTTGAATATCATTTTTAGTGGTTGTTTCCTTTTCTTCTACAGTTTGTTGTGCAGAAGTTGACGATAATGTTGGTCCCTCTCTAGTTATGTTTGTTATAGATTTTACAGATACTATTTCATTTCCTTGTCCTGGTATTGATGTAGAACTAATAGATAATTTTGATCCTTCTTTAATTGTCGTTGGAAAAGTCTTTGTTTCATTTTCTCTTTTGGGTCCGTGCATAGATGTATTATAAGACAGACCTTCTGTAGTTGTAATTGGAATAGATTTTGAATGTGATATTTCGTTTTCTATTATGCGACTTTGAGAAACATCAGTAGATAATATAATCCCTTCTGTAGATGGAATTGACGCTGCATGGGTTCTTTCGTTTTCTGTACCTGTTGCAGGTGTTTCAAATAATGTTTGTCCTTCCGTAGTTGAGTTTAGACTAGACAATTCAACTGTTGCCTCCTTTTCTGTTCCTGGAGCTTGTGTAAATGTCTCAAATAATGTTTGTCCTTCCGTAGTTGAGTTTAGACTAGACAATTCAACTGTTGTCCTCTTTTCTGTTCCTGGAGCTTGTGTAAATGTCTCAAATAATGTTTGTCTTTCCCCAGTTGAGTTTGGAATAGACAATTCAAGTGTTGATCCGTTTACTGTTACTGGTGATTGTGTAAATGTTTCAAATAATGTTTGTCCTTCTGCAGTCGAGTTTGGACTAGACAATTCAATTGTTCTCCCTTTTCCTGTTATTGCTGCTTGTGTAGATGAATTAAATAAAGTTGTTTCTTCTGTAATTGTGGCTTTAATAGAATTTGCAGCCGTTGTTTCTTTTTCTGTTTCTATTTTTATTTCCGAAGTTGTAGTCGATGTTTCAGCTGTAATTGTAACTGGAATAGCGATTTCATTGTATGTTTCCTTTTCTCCTACTGGTACTTGTGTAGAAGTCGGAAATAATCTTGGCTCGTGTGACATTGTGTTTGGAATAAACTTTTTCATAGTTTGTGTAAAAATAGTCGATACGGTTGGTATATCTGTATTTGTGTTTGGATATGTCACTGTAGAAGATGTTTCATTTTTTCTCATTGGCGTTTCTTTCGAAGTAATAGGCAATAATGTTTCTTCTGTAATTCTTGACTGAAATGTTATTGTACTATTATTTTTGTTTCCTGTTGCTGGTGTTTGAGTAGATAATGTTGGAACTACCGTAATATTGGTTGGAATAGGCATTGTGATGGATGATTCGTTTTTTCTTATGGTTATGTCTGTAGACGCAGTCGATAATTTTGCTTCTTTTGTAAATGTTTGAGCATTCGTTGTATAGGTTTGATTTTCTGATTGTGATATTTTGGTAGAATAAGTAGACATTGTATTTTCACCTGTTATTGTGGATGTATCAATTATTGTAGAGTCAGTTTTGTTTTCTATTTCTATTGTTTGTGTGGAATTTGCAATTAACATTGAACTTTCTGTAATTGTTTTTGGAGATGTAAATGTAAGGTTTGTTTCATTTTCTATTATTGAAGAATATGCAGTAATTGCAGGTGATGTTTGATCTTCGGAAATTCTCTGAGGAATAGTCATTGTGCCACTCACATTTTCTATTTCTGCTTTTTGTGTAGAAGATGCATTTAACGTTTTAATGTTTGATGTAGTAATCACTTCAGGCTTTGTTTTGTATTCTGTTAAATGTGTTTTGATAGAAGTTGTAGAAAATTCTGTAATTTCCGTTGGAATATTCAATTTAGTCGTTGTTTCGCTTTCTATTTCAGGTATGTTTGTTGAAACACTTGATAATGTTGTTCCCTGCTTAACTTTAGATTGCATAGTCATTGTAGGATATGAATCATTTTCTGTTACAGTTGATTGTGAGGAAGGAAAAGAAAATGTTGATTCATCTTTAATTGTTGATCGAATCGTCATTGTTGTATTTGTTTCATTTTCTGTTACTGGTATTTGTGTAGACGTAGATACCGTAGTTTCTTCTGTAAATTCTGATTGAATAGCAGTTACAGGATTTCCTGTATTTTCTATAAGTTGTGTATGCTTTGATGGTCTATTTGATGTTAAACTTTCTGTATTTTTGGTAGGAAGAGACATTGTAGACGATGTTTCAGATTCTATTTCTGACATTTTTGTAGAAGTGGAAGATGCTGAATTTTCTGTAATATTTGAGGGTCTATTTGATGTTAAGCTTTCTGTATTTGTAGTAGGAAGAGACGTTGTAGACATTGTTTCACTTTCTACTGCTGACGTTTTTGTAGAAACGGAAGATGCTGAATTTTCAGAGGATGTTTCATTTTTTCGTACCGGTGACTGTACAGAAGAAATAGATAATACCGGGATTTCTGTAGTCATCTTCGGTGCATTCATTGTAGCAGTTTCATTTTCTATTATTTGCTTTTGTGTAGAGGAAGGCGACGGCAATGTTCCTTCTGTAATTGCTGTTTCAATGAGCATTGTAGGACTTATTTCGTTTTCTATTGCCGGGGTCTCTGTGGGATTTGTTTGTTCCTCTGTCATTTTCATTGGTATAGTCATTGTATCGGATGTTTTGTTTTCTTTCACTGGCATTTGTGTGGAAGTCGACACTATTGATCCTTCGGTATTTTTCGTTGAAACATACGTAGTATTTGTTGGTCCCGTTTTTATTAATGGTGCTTGTATAGTACTTGTAGTAAATGTTGGATAGTCAGTATTTATGTCTGGCAGAGTCGTAATGGGTGTTTTATTACCTATTTGTAGTGTTTCTGTAGAAAAAGTAGCTTCTGTAATTATTGGAACATTCATTGTAAGAGTTGATTCCCCTTCTTTTACTGTATTTTCTTTAGATGGAACATGCGTAATTTTAGTTGGAATTATTTTTATAGTGGATGTTTTATTTTCTATTCTTGATCTTCCTGTAGAATTAGTAGGTACTGGTTCTACGTTAGTATCTGTCGTTCTTTCGTTTTCCATTGTTTGTGTTTGTATAGAAGATGTAGTTAATTCTGAAACGTGTGGACTTTTAGTTGCAATAGTAATTTTAGCAGATCTGTTTTCTGTCACTGGTATTTTTGTTGAAGTAGTAGATAATACTTTTCCTTCTGTAAGTGACGTTGTAATAGCCATTGTTGAATTTGTTCTATTTTCTCTTGCTTCTGTAATTTCGTTTGGTCTTTTTGTTGTAGTGGGTGTTTCGTTTTCCATTTCTGGTGTTCTTATAGAAGTACTAGATAGCCGTGTTTCTTTTGTAACTTCCCTTTGAGAATTTGAGGTGGTCTCTTTTAGTGGCGTTTGTGTAGAAGTTGTAGGTAATGTTACAACTCGTGTACTTTTGGCTGGAATAGTCATAGTAGTAGATCTTTCCTTTTCTTCTAATAGCGATTTTGTAGAAGTAGTGGATAAAGATGTCCCTTCTTTACTTGTAGTTAGAACTTTCATTATAACAGATGTTGCATTTTCTATTAATGGTGTTAGTGTAGTACTATCCCATAATGAGGATACTTCGGCAATAGTCGTTGTGTTATTCATTGTTGAATTTATTTCCTTTTGTACTTTTGGGGATTGAGTAGAACTTGTATTTAATTTTGTAGCTTCCGTAATTTTGGTTTGAAGAGTGTTTGTAATAGATATGTCATTTTCCATCTCTGTTGTGTTTTTAGAAGCAATAGAAAATCGCGCTTCTTCAGTAAATGCCGTTGAAATTTCCGCAGCAGGACCTGTTTCATTTTCTGTTAGTGGTATTTGGGTATATTTAGTAGTTGATGCAGGCATTTTTGTAATTGCAGCTGTTATTTCATTTTTTATGCTTCGTGTTTGTGTTGCCATTGTAGTTAACTCTGGACTTTCATAAATTTTGGTTTGAATAATTTCTTTTTCTATTTCTGGTTTGTGTGTAGCTGTAATAGATAATGGCGTGCTTTCTCTAAATGTTGTTGGAATATTTGTTGACAGAGTTTTATCATTTTCTATTACTGGTGCAAATGGAGTCGCAGTAGTCATTTCTTTTCCTTTTGCATTTGTTGCTGAAGTAATCATTGAACTGGATGTTTCCTTTTCTGTTACTGTTTGATCAGTTGTAGTAAAAAAATGTGTTGCTTCTGTAACTGCTAATGGAATAGATATCTTAGCGGCTGTTTTGTTTTCTCGTAGCCCTGTCATTGTAGAAATTGTAGCTAATTTTGAACCTTCTTTAATTTTATTTGAAGTGGCGATTGTAGAGATAGAATTGTTTTCTGGAACTGATATTTCTGTAGATATAGCAGGTAATGTTGTTCCATCTGTGTTTATTTTTGAAATAGTCATATCCGTTTCGTTTTCTTTTATTGGCGTGTCTGTAGAAGTAACAGCTGATTTTACTTCTTCCGTAAATGTCCTTGGAATATGGAATGTAGGGCTTGTTTCCTTTTCTATTTCTGGTTTCTGAGCAGATGAAGTAGGTATTGTTGATTCTTCTATAATGGCCATTGAAATACTATCCGTATGTGTTGCTTTAGTTTCCTTTTCTGTTACTGGTGTGAAAGTAGTTTCTTTTTCCATTTGTTGTGTCTTTTCAGTAGATAATATTGTTCGATCTGTTATCGTCGGTGGAAGTGTCGTTCTATGGAGTGTTTCGTTTATTATTGCAAGTGTTTGTGAAGAGGAAGTAGATATTTTTCCTTCCGTAATTGCTTTGGAAGCATTTATTGTAGCTGCTGTTCCATTTTCCATTAAGGGTGTTTTTTCTGTTGTAATTGTTGGAATGTTCATTTTAAGGCTTGTTTTTTCTCCTGTTTGTATAGAAGTTACAGAAAACGATAATCCGTCTGTAATTGTTGTTGGAAGTGTCATTGGATTTATTGTATAATTTTCCACAACCTGTGTTTGTGTAGAAGTCTTTACACTTTCTGTAATATTCGTTGGAATATTTGCTGTATTTGTTGTTTCATTTGATATTTCTGATGTAGATAAAGTAGCTGTTGCAGTATCTTTGGTTATATGCATTTTGGCACTGTGATTGTCAGAATATGATATTGTTTGTGTACTTCCGGTTATATGTTTTGAATGGGCATCCGGTGTATCAGCAGTGCTCTGATAGTGTGACTGGGTTACGGCCGTCGCTAAAACAGTATTTTCCTTTGTATAATATTGGCTTGATGTGTCTTCTGGATACGTTTTTGTTGTTCGGAAACGAGGTGTCTCAGACGAAGTTACCAATGCTGAATCATCTCCTATTTCAACTGAGGTTACACTTTCCCAGAATTCTGTTGTTCTGTCTGTCGCAGCCGGAGTTGTGTTTATTGGATCAGTCTTAAGTTTCGAACTATAGGAATTTTGAACATTAATTTGAGTTGTCTGACCAGGAAAACTCCAATTCCAGCCAGATATGCTACTTTGTCCTACGGACGATGCTTCAGTCTCGTCTGGATGTTTTGTGCGAAATATAGGTGAGGTGTGATCGGCAGAAATGTTGAGTGGTTTCGTAGTCTCAAAAGAATGCAACTGGTATGTACTTAACTCCTCATTTTTAACAGCGGAAGGAGATGTTTCTCCAGAGACAAGACTCACAGGAGTACTGTCTGTCCATTCCAGAATTTCAGAATCATTTCCTCCTGAAAGACCAGAACCGGTCTCAATTGGTTGTGGCCAGGCATTTGAAGAAATTTGATCTCCATTGTCTGCAAGTTGTGCCGTCTTGGTATTTGACAAAGATGCCTCTATATTTGAATGAGAACCTGTTGAAGAATCAGCTGTTACATTAGGGTAATTATTAAGACCAGTATCTCGTTTTATATGATTAAATTCCGCCTCGGTGTCATCACGAGAAGAAGCCATCTCATTAGCACTTGATCCCTTACTGTGTTCCAGATTTGATCTTTCTCGATTGATGGAATTAACTTGGGGTTGATTTTTTATCTTTTTGGATGTGAAAGCTTCCAGGTCTCTCTCGTTTTTTGGCTTTGATATGAATCGTTTTGAGCTCAGTCGATGATTGCTCGTGAAATCGGCTGAAGTTCCTGTTGTTATAGAAGTTGGTGTCTGAAATGCATCAGTATAGTTGATTGTCGATTTTGACCACTGTCTCTTCTTGCGATTTTCTTCGTCTGAGCCGTTGGCCAGACAAACTGTTAGAAAATGAAAACGCAATATATATTTCAATTGAAATACAAAACACTTAGCACACGATAAAACACATTAAAATGCGAAAATATCTTTCTTCTAAATATTCATTTAATTTTAGACATGTGAAAGAAAACATATGTTATGTTACAAGTAAGCTTAATATTCACCCATACGCTGAAATAAATGTTTATAGACAAATGTATGTATGTATATATATCTGGCCACTCGTATTCGAGGATACCTGTCTACTAGGGCGGCTAGCCAATCCCTATTGCAGACGCTTGCTCTGGCGCATTTGTGTTTATTCGACACCCACAGAGCCCACCTGTGGTTTATACTGCAACTATGCTGAGCAGACCTTAGTTACAGTTTCTGGGAAAGAGCGTGTTATCTAGCGTGATTAACTATTTGAACAAGGCCAGCACGCTCAAGCCTTCGGCCACGATGACGTGTGACTTCGTGCTAGCACAGCTTACTGACGATCCAAGGGTTCTGTTTACCCAATTTCCCTCACAAGGCTTGGTCAATGGTTTTCAGGCACGCTTCCAGTCCGATAACATCAGGAAGTCTCCTTCCTGACAAACCGACAATGGTGAGATTCGGACGCGGATCTCATGGTCAGAATGCGGACGGTCAAACCACTCGGCCACGTGCCCATAAACAAATGTACACACTCATGAACATACATACCCACGAATACTCGCACGTGGCAATTTATGTCTAAAAGAGTTGGAGATACTTTTTCATTCAACTAGAAATATTTAACCCAGATTAGCTCATTTTATTCCAGTAATAAGTATATCAAATTAAGGCTAAATATTAACTTTTCATGAATTATAACGCAGATCTTCATTCTTGTCAGAAACTGTAACTTTTCTTATAAAATACTTTTTTTTAAATATCTTTTTGGACACTTTGCTTCGTTCAACGACAGCCTTGGGATAAATGAATATCTCTTAAAATCTAGATAACTAATAAATTACAAAGTATACCTAAAAGACTTATTAAATACGAAAGCTTAGTAAAAAAAAGCAGTACTCACTGTTGAATGTGATGCAGAGCAAAATTAATGTCTTGCGACAAAAATATCGAAAAAGCATCCTTTTCTATAAAAAAAAAGGAAAAAACAAGCAGATTAGACTTATTTTTTTTTTGTTGCTCAGATGATTTAAAATGAATGATACTATGAATTGCTTATAAAATAGACATCAAAAATATATCGCACATTTTGCAAATTTAATTACTTTAAGGTTTGAATTAAATGAATGATTGATTGTTTATCATTCAAATAAATATCAAGATTTTTTTTTATTGCTAATACTATTTTTCCAAATCTTTTAGGTTAAGAAAAGTTCAGAATTGATTTTTAAGAGTTTGATCAGTATAAAAGTTACAAACATATTAGGGAAGAAATTTTAAATATATTGTGCTTCTTCGAAACAAATTTTGGGACAGATATTGGATTTTTAAAGGACATTTTAAATAATTTTGATTTCTTTTTTGTCGGCATCCATCAAATTCGCTAATCGTACTAGGCGGAATGGTTTTGTTTTTAACTAGTTTGAAAAATCTCTAAAATCTGTCTATATTTCTGAGATGAGGTATTATGTACACTATTTACATTATTCGGACTATTGTCCTCATCTTTGTTGCCATATTTATCACAAAGTTTCGGCCGTTGTACGCTCCGGCGTTCTTCAGATGGTTGGAATGTCGAACTGAACCCTTTATTTCTCTCACTGGGGTAGACTGTTCTAGTTCCACGTGACATGTTTAATGGATGTCAGCTATCAGTTATCTCCTGTTTTCCCCTTAAGTGGAAAAATCAGGCGTGGCAGACCACATAAGGAGAGAAAAGGGAGATCACCGCCTTCTGTGGGATCAGGTTGAAATCATAGACAAAGAACATCATTGAGCCACAAAGGATAATTCGGTTAGCAATCGGTTAAGGCACGTCAGGCTATATGACGGTTCCGTATAGGATACAGGTTCAATTCCTGTCGGAGGACGAATATTTTCTATGAAAATTTCTCAGACATTTAGGCCGGTAAATGTTGTTGATACTGTTTATTATAAACAGAGCATTTACTAAAATATTTGTATCTATAAAAAGAATGTATAAACATAAAAATGTCTTAAAATAATTGTCGGACTTTGTCCATTTCATAATATAATATATATATATATATATATATATATATATATATATATATATATATATGTGTGTGTGTGTGTGTGTGTGTGTGTGTGCTTATCTCATGCAACTACTGATGATTTTACAAGCAAAATATTAAAGTACCAACAAAACGATCGTGTAGTATTTTTGTGACTGTTTCAAGAACTAGATCAATTTGATACAACGGTTTCGATAAAATTTGTGCCTTAACTAAATGGATATAACATATGTTATCGGAATAAAATAAAAAGATAGTGCTATTATAAACAAGAATTGCTATGAAACATTTCTATCATTATGCCATAGACAGATGTTTAAATATTTTGAATTATGTGAATGAAATTAAAAACAGTCAATTTTTAAACGGGAGACATTTTATTCAAGAGATATCTTGAATACATCCATTTTGAAATAATCAGTTGATCGTATTCTCTGATGAAAGAAACAAAAGTAACTAATTCAGAAATTGTAAAATATTTGATGAACAAGGAAAACACGCACTTGTTAATGAATATTTTCCTCTTATCGAATTTTTGTCTATTAAAAAATAATATTTAGTATATCGATTGATATTTTTGTAATGTTTTGCACGTTTTCATAAGTATATGTGGATGCATAAACATTTAATCTCCATCTAGAAGATTAAGGGTTTATGCATCCAAATATACTTATGAAAATGTGCAGAAAAATATGCTGATCAAGAGAAATGCTTTATCTAAATGCATTTCTCTTGATCAGCATATCTTTCTCAGTCCATTATTCGCATCTTTAATCATGTTTTCTGTCCTCCTTTACGGTAGCAAATGTTGGACAGTCTCCTCAAAGATGAAGAAGAGACTCGAGACAACAGAGTTTTGGTCCTACAGAAGGATGCTAAGGATATCATGGACCGAACATGTGAACATAATGTGTTTTTGGAGAGGATGCAAACAAGGAGGAAGTTTATACTTAACATCAGGAAGAGACAGCTGAGATTTCTGGGACACGTAATGAGAAAGGAGGGCTTGGAGAATCTGATACTCACAGGTCGAAAGAGGGACAAAGGAAACAACGGATGACATACCTAGAGGGCTTAAGCAAGTGGATGATAGAACACGGCCTTGGGGGAGGTAGGAAAGAGACAAAACTTACTGAGAGTTACAAGAGATAGGGGGAAGTGAATATGTTTGCTTACGTCCTGAAGGGACACGGCATATAAAAAGAAAAGAAGAGTCATGTTTTGTGTGCATGTATGCAACCACCAACTATAAAGCAATTTTTAATTTTTCTAATGTTTTCGGACAAGTTTATTATAAATTTATATCTTCTTGAGTGTTTGCACATGCTTGCTTTTTGTTGAAACTTGACTAATGCATGGAATAATAATGCAACACAAAATGTACTTAGAACAAAATGTATTGAAACAAGAAAGTGTACACAATATTTACATATAGTCTTTTGTATATTCCTGGTAAGACCGTTCCTGGAGAATGTGTTGACTGAGTTGCAGTCAGGCAGAGTCGCTGGTTGAATCTCTTGATTCCTCCCTCTCTTCCCGGTACCAACCATATTTATATGGTCGGTACACCACGATGCAAATTAGGTGGATCCTACCACAACACTTGTGTAAATTTATAAATATATGTGCTTAAATGAGCTTAGCTTAATGCGTGTACAGTAACATACTTTAAAATTGTGAAAGCGCATGCGTGTGGAGGATGTCAAGTTTTAGCATCTAAACATACTGAATTTATACAAATTTTGTAAGGCTCTTTTACATCGTTCCAAAATTTCCTCAAAAGTATTTTGAATTTTTCTTCTCGTAAACTCATTGACAGTATTAATGTTGTGGATTCCGAGATGAAATTCGGTCTCCAATGAATGACAAATAAATGTATTTACACAATAATACAATTGGTAATACGGTTAGTAAATCCAGAAACGCGGTTAGTAGCAATAATAATATATATATATATAGTCTGGTAAATCCAGTCTCGAAGTAGGACTTCCTTAGAGTCTACGTGCTTGTAACTGTGACTGCTACAAGCGGTTACCTCACACTATTACTCTACCTCCAACTCAGTCACCATCTCAATCTCTTTACTCTGACTGACTCTGCGTATTTAACGGCAGCAGTCTAAGTACACACTGGTAGAGTCCACTTGTAGAAAAAAGGGGTGGTCCCCATAACAATTACCTACACTGGTGTGTACCCCAAACACACAACTATTAAAAGAAGACAATTGCGGGACATCTCTGGAATCTACGCAAATAATGTACGAAAACTTGAACACAAATAGTGAAAGACACGTATATATGCAACTTATATGCACATATATGCAACTGCAATAGCTATGAACTTCATATAAAGATAGGAATGTGATACTTTATGCATTATACTAATAAAATTCACCAGTACTTCAGTATTAATGCAGTGTGATATAACAATCTTAGAATAATCAACTGTCTATGGATGCTTTTGTCAAAATCAAGCGCTCGGACTTAAATATCCTTTCCTCAAACCATAGAATTTCTAAAGCTAATGAAAATTCAAAATCCGGCTTCAGTAATCTGAGATCTACAGTTTTTAAGCTGCAAGGAATAGCTCTAATATGCTAGCAAAACGTTATTAAATGAAGTACTAAGAGAAATGATATGTTGAAGATAGCTATAAAAGCTTCTTGTTTACGTCACTTTCACTTATCATTCCGTAGAGCCAGGATATTGGCATTTCGAAAACATTAAAAATAGAATCTTTAAAGTAAACAAACAAAATAAAAACAGGAATAATAATCAAAAATTTAAAGACATCAGAATCTTCCATCAAACAGTGTGCGTGAACACATTGGTGAGTTTTTGTGAAAAGTCTAAAAAATCAGTTCGAAGCAAATGTAAGTACCCCCCCATATTTATATATATAATATAATTGTAGTGGTATTGACGGCATAAATCAACCCACACATTTTTTTTACTTTACGAATGTGTAAGAAAACAAAAAGCAAACAAGAGAAAGAACACAAGAAATTAACTTTTTATAACAGGTACAATATTTATATTTATAAATGACAACAGTTTTACAATAAGTATTAATGAGTTACTTCCCTTTGACTGGGCTAAAGTTTTACTACTAAAATATTTTTTTACCTGAGCTCACAAAAAAGCTGAATTATCTTGTCGTTCAAAATGTTCACTGAAAGAGAGTTTAAAGAATCTTGTAAAGCTGAAAATATGTTGATAAACTTTTAGCTTTAAAGAAGTTGGAGAATGTTGAATGTTCCGTTTGTTTTCGTTGCTCGTAGTTGAAAGTATTGTTCGTAATTGTTTGTACTTAAGTTTCGTAAGATTCAATAACGTAATTGAATAAGTTTTAGTAAGTTTCAGAAGTTGGTGAGTGAGTTGTTTCGTTGATATTTTAGTTTGAATTACAGCGAAGTTATTTCATGTTAAAGAACTTGAGGTTCTAACTTTGTACTTCGCTGCAGTAATGATACAAGCGCCGTGAACTCGTTTAGCAAATTCTAGTTGTCGTAAATTCTCACTGACTGGGTTCGCTCCTATCTTCAATTTATATGTTTTTTAATCACGTGACAGGATCCTGAAAACATTGTTTTTTCGTCAGGTCAAAAACTAAGTTGATGTTATTCGGACGTAGTAGTGAGCAGGTAAATTGTTTTTTTAATATTTGTTAACCACTCAGAAAGAGCCTTACAAAACTCAGTCTGGAGCCTGATATGTTTTGTGTTGCATATTGAGAACAATGCACGTGAAGATATACGAGATAATTTTAATATTTATTGTCCAATGAGAAGTTCAGGTTTTCAGAAAAATGTATGAAGATGTGATCCGCTTTTTTTGCACGAAAATCGACATTGATGAAAAAGTGGTAGCGAACAGCTAAAATACTCCACCACCAAATTGAAAGTTTGAAAAGAAAAAAAAATTCAA